GCTATGAATTTTTTGTGTATCCTTTATCAGGTTGAGGACATTTTCTTCTATTATTTGTTTGTGGAGTAGTTTGATCAGGAAGAGGTGTTAGGTTTTGCCCAATACTTTTTCTGTGTTTAGTGACATGATCATGTGGATTTTACTCTTTATTCCATTGATATAGTATGTTGCATTAGTTGATTTTCAGATGGTAATACAACCTTGTCTTTCTGGAATAACTCTCCTTTTTGTGTTGACAGATTCAGTGTGCTGATATTTTGTTGAGGATTTTTGTGTGTATATTCATAAGGAATATTGATCTGAGTTTTCTTCTGATGTCTTTGTTTGGTTTTGGTATCAGTAATACCGGCCTCATAGAGTAAGTTGGGAAGTGTTTCTTTCCTTTTTTTTTTTTGGAAGAGTTTCTGAAGAATTGGTATTAATTCGTTCAAATGCTTAGAAGAATTTATTCATTAAACCATCTGAGCCTGGAGTTTTCTTTGTGAACAGTGGGGTTTTTTTGGTTTTGTTTTGTTTTTTATCCTCACTTGAGGATATATATTTTTAAGGATTCTGAGAGAGAGGGAGAGAGGATGGAAGAGAGAGAGAGAAACATCTATATGAAACATCAATCACTTAATCACTTCCTTCCCGCACGTATCCTGACTAGGAATCAAACCGGCAACCTTTTGGTGTGTGGAACAATGCTCCAACCAAATGAGCCACCCGGCCAGGGCTGTGAGTAGTGTTTTTATTACTAATTCCATCTCATTATAGGTCTATTCACATTTACTATTTCTTCTTGATCAGTTTTAGTAGTTTGTGTTTTTCTAGGAGTTTTTTTCATTTTATTAAGGTGTATTTTAAAGGGGTTTAAATAATAACAAAAATCTTATATTCATGTATTTAACATCTCTGGGGTTCTTTGTTGCTTTGTGTAGATCCATACGTCCATCTGGTATAATTGTCCTTCTGTCTAAACGGCAGCTTGGATGGTGATGAATTCTTTTAAAATCTAAAAAAGTATTTTGGAAGTCTTCTTGAATTTTTTGAAATAGTTTGAGGAGAATGGGTGTTAGTTCTTTTTTGAATCTTTGCTAAAATTCCCCCATGAAGCCATCCGGGCCTGAGCTTTTGTTTGCTAGAAGAGTCTTGATTACATCTTCAATGTCTTCTGTTGTTATTGATCTGTTCAAATTTTTTATCTCTTCCCGGTCCAGTTTTGGGAGACTATGTGTTTCTAGAAATTGGTCCATTTTGCTTAGATTATCGAATTTGTTGCCATATAATTGTTCATAATATTTGTTCACGATCCTTTGTTTTTCTGTGGTGTCAGTTATTATTTCTCCTCTTTCATTTCTGATTTTGTGTATTTGGGTTCTCTCTCTTTGTTTCTTGGTGAGTCTGCCTAAGGGTCCATCAATCTTTTTTATTTTTTCAAAGAATCAGCTCTTTGTTTCATTATTCTTTGAATTGTTTTTTTGGTCTCCATGTCATTTATTTCTGCTCTGATCTTTACTATTTCCTCCCTTCTGCTTGCTCTGGGGTTTTCTTTTTGTTTGTTTTTCTTTTTTTTTTTTATATCCTCACCTGAGGACATTTTTCCATTTTTTGTACAGATAGAGTGGGAGGGAGAGAGAGAAAGAGAGAGAAACATCGAGGTGAAAGGAACACATCGAGTGGCTGCCACCCGCACGACCGACCAGGGCCGGGGACAAACTGCAACCGAGGTACATGCCCTTAGCGGGAACCGAACCCGGGTCTCTTCGGACCGCAGGCCGATGCTCTAACCGCTGAGCCAAACTGACCAGGGCTTGTTTGTTTTTCTAGTTCTTTAAGTTGTGAGGTTAGATAGTCTATTAGAAATTTTTGTTTCTTGAGGTATGCCTGTAGTGCTATGAACTCTTCCCTCTTAGAACTACTTTCGCTGCATCCCATTAATTTTGTGTTGTGTGTTCATTTACATTGGTTTCCAGGAAGTTTTTAATTTCTTCCTTGATCTCCATGGTAACCCATTCATTGTTTAGTAACATCCTATTTAGCCTCCATGTGTTCAAATGTCTTTGAATATTTTTGTAGCAATTGATTTTTTGTTTCATGCCATTGTGATCTGAAAAGATGCTTGATATGATTTCAATCTTCTTGAACTTGTAGAGATTTAATTTGTGTCCAATCATGTGGTCTATCTTTGAGAATGTCCCATGTGCACTTTAGAAGAATGTGAATTCTGCAGTTTTGGGGTGTAATTCTCTGTAGTTATCTATGAGATCCATTTGATCTAGTGCTTCATTTAGAGTCTCTGTTTCCTTGCTGATTTTTTGTCTAGGGTATCTATCCAGTCGTATCCAAGGGGTGTTGAAGTCCCCTGCTATGATTGTATTGCTGTCGATTTCTCCTTTGAAGTCCTCCAGGAGATTTTTAATATATTTTGGTGCTCCTATATTGGGTGCATACTTGTTTATCAAGGTTATATCTTCCTGTTGGATAGATCCTTTCAATATTATGTAGTGGCCTTCTTTGTCTCTAGTTATGGCCTTAATTTTGAAATCTATTTTATCAGATATGAGTACTGCTACCCCAACTTGTTTCTGCTTTCCATTTGCTTGGAAGATTTTTTTCCATCCCTTCACTTTCAACCTATGTGAGTCTTTTGTTGTGAGGTAGGTCTCTTGAAAAACAACATATAGCCCTGGCCGGTTTTGCTCAGTGGTTAGAGAGTCAGCCTGCGGTCCAGAGAGACCCGGGTTTGGTTCCCGCTAAGGGCACATACCTCGCTTGCTGTTTGTCCCTGGCCCTGGTTGGGTCGTGTGGGTGGCAGCCACTCAATGTGTCCCTTTCACATCGATGTTTCTCTCTCTCTCTTCCTCTCTCTCCCTCCCACTCTATCTGAACAAAAAAATGGAAACATGTCCTCGGGTGAGGATTAAAAAAAAAAAAGAAAAACAACATATAGATGAGTCATGCTTTCTTATTCAATCAGCTACTCTGTGTCTTTTTATTGGAGCATTCAGGCCATTTACATTTAAGGTGATTATTGATATGTACTTATTTGTTGCCATTTTTGTTTAGTTTGGTTGTATTTTTCTTCCTATTTCTTCTACTAATTACAGCAGTCCTTTTAACATTTCTGGCAGTGCTGGTTTGGTGCTAACGTATTCCCTTAGCCTTTTTTTTTTTTTTTTGTCTGGGAAGCTCTTTATTTGATCTTCTATTTTGAATGACAGTCTTGCAGGTTAGAGTAGTCTTGGATTCAGACCCTTGTTTTTCATGACCTTGATTACTTCATGCCATTTCCTTCTGGCCTGTAGTGTTTCTTGTGAGAAGTCAGCTGAGAGCCTTATGGGGTTTCCTTTGTAGGTAACCTGTTGCTTATCTCTTGCTGCTTTTAGGATTCTCTCTTTGTCTTTAATTTTGGCATTTTGATTACTATGTGTCTTGGTGTGGGCCTGTTTGGGTTTTTCTTACTTGGGGCTCTCTGTGCTTCTTGAACTTGAATGCCTTCTTCCTTCACCAAAGTAGGGAAGTTTTCTGTCACTATTTTTTCGAATATATTCTCTAACCCTTGCTCATTTTCTTCTTCTTTGGGGACTACTATGATGCGAATATTATGTTTCCATTTGTCTCACAGTTCTCTTAGGGTGTCTTCCTGATTTTTAATCATTTTTTCCTTTTGGTTTTCTGATTGGTTGATTTTTTTCTACCCTGTCTTCTAATTCACTGATCCGGTCCTCAGCTTCCTCTACTCTGCTTTTTAGACCTTCCATTGTGTTCTTTATTTCTGATATGTCATTCTTAATTTCTTCTTGGTGGTTTTTGATTTCCAGTTGGTTGATTTTCAGCATCTCTGTATCCGTGCTCATGCTGTTGAACTTCCTCAAGATCATGGTTCTGAATTCTAGCTCTGTTAACTTGCCTAACTGCTCCCTATTTATCTCACCTTTGGTAGAGGTCTCTTGTTCTTTCATTTGGCTTTTCTGTGTTTCACCATTTTGGCTATCACAATGGGCTTTGGAGGCTGCCACATTTCCCTGTGGGTGTTTGTGTTCTGCTGTTTGTGGCTCCCTCTTTTGGGTTTAGAAGAGCGAGGAAGGAACCATGTTAAACTCCACTGTCAAGTCTGACTTTCCTGGTTAGAGTTTACTAGCCCAGTAATGGTACAGTTATCCTCTAACTTTTTGCCTGGGGGCTATCAGTAGATTACTTGAAGAGTTTTGGGTAGTCAGTTGATTGAAAAACTCCCTCAGGTGCTCAGCGTAAGGGGATTTCCCAAGGGTGGGGCAGATGCTGTTTGTTTGTGAGCTTCATTTGCATTTCAGTGGCCCTGGGGTGGAGTTGAATCTCTGAGGGAGGGGCCGCTGCCTCTCCCCAGAAGCCCTGGGAAGGAGCAAGATGGCCACTGTCCTGCGTGGCTGGAACTTAGCAAAAGCTCTAAGCCCCCTCCAAATCCTGAGTGTCCCCACACAGTTCCAGTTCAGTCCGCCCTCCCTCTGCTGGAGCCCAAGGTGAGTGGCTGTTGCTATTTTAGCGTCCGTCTGGGCTCTGCACTGTAGAGCCGCTTGGGAGTTTAACCCGAGCCACTGCTCACAGCAAAGACCCCTGCTGTCTGTGGGCTCCCAGGACTCCTTTCACGCCTCCGCAATCCTACCAGGATTGAGTCAGTGTCTCTGGTTATATGATCCTTGCAAGCTGCTTTTCTGTTGCTTTTTCCTCTCAATTTGTCTGTGTTTTAGTTGTAATTCCAGTTTGGTCCTGGGAGATGGTCTGTGTAGCTTCCATTCACTCTGCCACCATTTTGGAATCTCCTCATCCAGTATAGTTTAATCTTAGACATTGAAATGTTTATCTGAGATTGAATTTTAATCCTTTTTATGCCATTGGTGTCTCTACTTAGTTTTTTAACATGAACATCATTTTCTGTTTAATGTCACTTTCTGTGAATTTCAGCATCCACATCAGTTCTAGGTCAATTTTAACTGTTAATTTTTCTCCTTATTAAAGGTTGTGTTTTTCTTTTTCTTTGTATGCCTGATCATTTTTATTTGGATGTCAGGCATTGTGAATTTTATTTTGCTGTAGTTTATATTCCTATAAGTAGTTTTGATGCTTGTGCAGTTACTTGGAAACAAGTCCCCCCTGAGGATTGAGCGGGTTCCAGCCCCACACCAGGCCCCCTAGCCCAGGGTTCCAGTGCCAGGAGGAGAAATCCCCATAACTTCTGGCTGTAAAAATCAGCAGGGATTGAGGCTAAGGGAGAGCAAGGGCTACTGGAGTCCCAAGCAGTTCCTCTTAAAGGGCCTATTCATGGACTTATTCGGACTTACTCTCTCTGAGTTCCAGCACAGCGGCAACAGCTTGAAAGGCACCAGAGACATACCAGGAGGAACTGAATTGTCCGGCATCAGTGCAAGAACTGGGAGTGCACCTTTCTCCCAAAGAGAAGTATTGGCAGAGGTAATTGTCCCTTTGATGAGCCCTCCCACACAGAGCCAGCTGGCCGGTGCCTTATCTGAGACTCAATCAACCTGGCTCATATGTTTTCCCTGCCCATGTGATTCTCTGCGGCCCCACCCTACCCATCTTTCAGGCCCACTCAAGCTGTTTCCAGTGGCTTTTCAATATGAATAGCCTGTCTTGGCTCCTGCTTAAGATTTTCCTAAAATCTCTCAAACAAGCAGCATCTGTCATCAGCATGCCCTGTACCTTTCACTAAGTAGCCCCAGGCTCAGCACTGGCTTCAGCAGGCCTTGGTTCACAGCTTGGCCTCAACTGGACACCTCTAAGTGCAGCGCAAATAGCAGCCATCTACAGATTGTTTTGCAGTTCATGCTGGGTGGCCCTGGGCAAAACACAAGCAGTGGCTGATCTTTACCTGCACCTCCCAGGAGGCCCTCCAGCCAGCACACCCAGTGGACAGTTTCAGACCATGTCAAAGCATCACCACCACCCAACTACCTCCACAAACAACACACTCAAGAGGCAGACTCAGCAGGCACCAGAGCCCTAGTGAAGTATGTCCTGCTCCGTAGGGTAGGCCCCTGCACAGCTGATCCTCCACCTTGGTCAGAGGTTTGTGGTCAGTGGTTGAAGCTGTTGTGGGTGGTGGGAACAGCACCAGGTGTTAGACCAGTGGTCACACTGGATCTGGGTTCAGTGTGTTCACTGAACTCAGGTGTTACACCAGTGGTCACACTGGATCTGGTACTTGAGTTCAGTTCTGGCTATGAAAGAATTCAGAGCCAAGACTCAAACTATAAGATAACATTTATTTGGAAAATCACAGAGATAGAAGAAGTCATTTGTAGAAGAAATGGTCTTAGGAAACAAGTCACAGAGGTAAAGGAAGGGCCCTTGGAACTTGGGAGTGAGGAAGGTAATAGTAATACACATGGGGGAAGGAAGAGGGGGAAAGGAAAGGGAAAGGCTCAGGCATGCTCCTGGGATGGAACGTGTGCTGGGTCCTCGGTCCTGAGGGTTTTAAGGGTGGAAATTTAAGGGGGACGGGGTCCCAACAGACACTTCAGCAGCTTTATAGGTGTGTCTTTTCAGGGCCAGGTCTCCATTGATTGATTGATCAGTGCTAGGGCAAGGGTCATTAGTCAGTGCACCTGGTCCTGAGGTCAGCAGTGGGGTGTGTTGTCTAGTTTTGCTGCTTTTCTGGACCTGGAGCTGAAATACAACTGAAGCCTAGATGTTATCTCTAGGGAGGAAAGGTCAAGTAGGTCAAACCACATAACCAGCGATATGCTAGGAGAGGAAAGGTCACCCTACAATTGTCCTTTGCTAGGCTTTCTGCCTGGTGACCTTCTGTACCTGGCCCATTGTCCTTGCTCTGCTCATGTCTATCTAACTGCCTACTACACAGCTGGTCCTTACAGCTGATTGGCCTGGGGGTAAATCTCTCCCATTGACACACAAACATCAGTCAGAGCTCAACTACAAAAGGAGGGGGCACATCTCGAGTGCCCGACTTGAGTGATTGGGGAGGCTGTGCAACTGGACCCTACAGAACACTTCTACATAAGGCCACTCTACCAAACCTGGGAGATATAGCAGCTCTATATAATACATAGAAATAAACACAGGGAAGCTGCCAAATGAGGAGACAAAGAAATATGACTCAAATGAAAGAACAGAACAGAGCTCAAGAACCTGAACTAAAGAAAATGGAAAGAAACGATGTACTAGATGCAGAGTTTAAAACACTAACTATAAAGATACTCAGTGTACTTAGTGAGAACTTCAATGGCGTAAAAAAGGACATGGAAACCAAAAAAGAAACAAAACCAGTCAGAAATGAAGGATGGATACACTAACTGAAATAAAGAATATTTTAGAGGGAATCAGCAATAAAGTAGATGAAGCCAAGAATCAAATCAGCAATTTGGAATATAAGGAAGCAAAAAACACCCAATCAGAACAGCAAAAAGAAAAAAGAATCTAAAAAAAATGAGGATAGTGTAAGGAACCTCTGGGACAACTTCAAATGTACCAATATTTGTATTATGGGGGTGCCAGAATGGGAAAAGAGAGCAAGAAATTGAAAACCAGTTTGAAAAAAGAATAACAAAAAACTTCTTTAACTTGGTGAAAGAGGTAGACATACAGATCTAGGAAGTACAGAGTCTCAAACAAGATGAACCCAAAGAGGCCCACACCAAGACACACCATAATTAAAATGCAAAGGTTAAACACTAAAAAAATCTTAAAAGTGGCAAGAAAAAAGCAGTTACTTACAAGAGAGCTCCCATAAGACTGTCAGCTGGTTTCTCAATGGAAACTTTGCAGGCCAGAAGGGATTGGCAAGAAATATTCAAAGTGATGAAAAGCAAGGACCTACAGTAAAGATTACTCTACCTGCAAAGGTGTCATTTAGAATTGAAGGACAGATAAAGAGCATCACAGACAAGAAAAAGCTAAAGTAGTTCATCACCACCAAACCAGAATTATATGAAATGTTAAAAAGAGGGGGGTGGAAGAAGGTAAAAGATATGAACAATAAAATGACAACAAGTACATATCTATCAATAATAGAATCTAAAAAAACAAAATGAATGAGCAGAACAGAAACAGACTCATAGATACAGAGAACATTTTGATAGATGCCAAATGGGAGGGGGCTTGAGGAATGGGTGAAACAAGTGAGGGGATTAAGAAGTACAAATTGGGCCCACAGCTGGTGTGGCTCGGTGGATTGAGTGTTGGCCCATGAGAGGTCCCCGTTCAGTTCCAGCCATAGCACACGCCTAAGTTGCTGGCTCGATCCCCAGTAGGGGGCATGCAGGAGGCAGCTGATTGATGTTTCTCTCTCACATTGATGTTTCCATCTCTCTCCCATTCTCTCTCTAAAAAATCAATAAAAACATTTTTTTTAAAAAGCACAAGTTAGTTTTTACAGAATAGTCATGGGGATGTAAAGTACAGCATAGAGATTATAGTCAATAATATTCTGATAACTGTGTGGTGTCAGATGGATTCAAAATTCATCAGGATGATCACTTCGTAAGTTATGTTAACTTTAGTTATGTTAACTAAAACTAAACTATGTTTAGTTATGTTAACTAAAACTAATATAATAATTTATGTCAACTGTAATTGAAAATTTAAAATGACTTAAAAATAAATATTTGTTAGGCAGGACCAGAGCTATGTTTAGTCTATAGCTAATTATTTCCTACTACTGAGGGAAAACCTTTTTGGGGACTCTACCCATTTCCCCTTGAATTTGGGTTTTTTTCCAGTCTGTCTGGTGGGAATATGCACTATTCCTGGTCCTGTATAAGTTCTGAGTTCTGTGTCCTCTAATTTTTTGTATGATTCTTTCTTTAGCATCAGTTTCTTCATGTACCTGCACTTACTGTTCTGCTGAATTCCCAAAGAATGTCTTTGTATCTCTGGAGTTCTCTCTGTGCAGCTCTCTCCTCTCAGATTGTATCCTTTGAACCTAGTTGCCTTGGTCTGCTCAGACTGTCAGCTCCATCTCATCAACTATTAAGAAGTCTGCTGGCCTCTGTTTAGATTCTGCAACCTATGCCATGGCCTGAAGACTAAGGCAGTAAGCTGGGAAATTATTGGTTTCTTGTTTCTCCAGGGATCACTATTTTTATTGCCAATATTCAGTATCTTGAAAACCATTGTTTCATATTTTGGGGTTTTTATTTGTTTGTTTGTTTTTGGTTATTTCAGGTACAGGAATAAATCTGGTCCCTGTTATTCCATCTTGACTATAAGAGAAAGCCTCTTTAGTTTGTTTTAGAGAGTGAGAATTGATGGCTTCTAAGGATTTTTGCAACTCTGATCTTTGATTTTGTATTCCATATCTTTAACAAAGCTTTTTTCTTTTTTTAATCTCTATAGTATATCCTGTTCTCTCCTCAGAACACTTAACTATCTGCTGTTTATGCTTAGAAGGTTGCTTGGGATTAAATCTGTTCTATGAATGAACCTTATTTATGATAGCAGCACATTACATAGAATGATGGTAATCAAAGTATAACAGCAGAAAAATGTATACAAATTAAACCATTATTTTTTAGGATGTTTGAACCAAAACTTAACTTATAAATACATTTTCTGTGGAGGTCATATATATGTATAATTGCAACACAAAACTTAATACTATATGTGATATACACTGATATTTACTGTTCTATTTGATTGAAAAGTAAACCTTTGGTATGACCCATTAATGGGTTATATCTCACAGTTTAAAATACATTGTCTACATAAAGAAAAATGCAGTAAGGTACCGTATTAATAAGAGGTAGAGGTACTTGGATTACGTTAATTCTTTTACCAAGTTTTACTTCCAAACAGTTTGAGTATAGTGTACTAATAATTTATACAAGATTATGTCTCCATATTTTTAGTTTTAGTCTTTTTTCCATTATAAATGGCCTAGTAATAACTTTAAAATACTTAAAAGAGATGTTATAGAGTTTTACTTTTTAGTTAATGAAATTTGAGTGGTTTCTTATGCTAAGAATTAGGGTTTTGAGACATGGTAAAATCCTGGAACTGATAATCATTTAAATCCTTACTTTTTAATTAGATAGTTTCTCTTCTTAAAAAAATTTTATAAGAGTTTATTTGAGCCAAACTGATGACATATGCCAAGGAGAAAGATCTAAGGTGCTTTGGAGAATAATAGCTTTGCAGCTTCTTTTATGTATTTGATATTAAAGAGAGGAGAAAACAAGGTGGGGATGGATTACTGGTTGGTTAACAAGATTATGTGGCCCAGTTGGTATAGCTCAGTGGTTGAGCATCGACCCATGCACCAAGAAAGAGGTCACTGGTTCGATTCCCGGTCAGAGCACATGCCCAGGTTGTGAGCCTGATCCCCAGTGTGGGGCATGCAGGAGGCAGCCAGCTGATGTTCTCTCCCATCGATCTTTCTCTCTCTCTCTCCCTCTTCCTTTCTCTCTCTAAAATCAGTAAAGAAAAAAAAATTAAGAAAAAAAAACAAAAACAAGATTATATGCTTTATTGAGGGTTAATACACTTTTCAAGGGGTATCACTTCTGGTATTGCAAAGGTATGTTAACCTAGATGCACAAGAACAATGGATGTGGCTGGCTTAAAACCTTTCACTAAAGAAGTTACAGGCCTGTGGCATGACTAACCTACTATAACCAGCCCCGTTAGGAATTTATGATCAGATCACTGTGTAAGGCTACTTTATATAGAACTCCCTTTTTTTTCATCCTCAGTTCCCCCTTTTGGTCATAAGTCAACATGAAAGATGCATTGATGACTGACTTTTTGGTCAGATAGTATGTTCTCACAGCTTTAGGAAGGCTTGCTCCTAGGAAGTCTCAGTTTTGACCCCGTCTTGACCATTTGGGATGGGGCAGTACTGGAGCCATGGGATCAGAGCTGAGGCTGAATTTTTCCCAAAAAGGTAAGGGCAGGTAAATGGAAGGCAGTCATTGCGGAAAAAAACACCACCACTCTGGATCATTTCTGTCCTATGAACTATCATGATCCAAGTTTTGACTCTGTCTCATTTTTCTGTATTTGGCATCTAGTATAGCAATTACATAAGGCATGAAAAGAGTATTAGAAGTTATCAATGTTCAGTAATCATAAACAGTTGGACTATATAGAAAAACCCAAATAACAAATATAACTATTATTATGACAATCAAACAAAATGGATTCTGAATTCAGTATCAATCCATAGATATATAGGCCTTGTCAGTGTCTTGAGATAGCTATCTACTTCTGATGTCAGTGCTTCTCACCCTAGAACACTTTGATGATTGTGGTAGGTGGAGACGAATATCAGAGACAGGGGTAGATGTCCATTTGTCATTAGATGCCTGATAAGGTCCCTTCCAATGAAGTTAAAGAGTGTCTTTTATTTGATGTCCTTTCAAAAAAAATCAAGATGTAAATTCTTTGTCTCCTGGAAGTTCACTGTGAAAGGAACCAGTTACCAATTTGACATTTTCTTGAAGTGACTCTATCAAACCTTGGCAATAATGTAAGATGTCTCCTTTCAATAATGCCAGCTCATTTAAGTTTGCCTTAAATGCACTGTGATGCATGAGGGAATGCAAAAGCTGAAAAATAGGGAGCCAGGGAAGAGGGAAGAACCAAGCAGCTGTATTGGGTTTCCATAGCCCTAACTCTTCATTTTTTTACTTCTCATTTTCCCATGCAATTTAACTTTTGGCATATTACAAGAGTCCTTCTGGGACACCACAAGTTATTTCTACATATATTGAGATGTTAACCCTTAAAACCTCAATTTCTAATGAAAACCTCAATTTCTAATGGGAAGCATTCTTTAGCTAGACATTTTATAACCTCTGGAAACATTTTTCATAGATATAAAAGTCAGTTATTAACAATGACATTTTTGTAAAACCTAGGCAAAATAAAGGCATGTCTGTTTTAGTTAAAGCAACAAACTTAAGCAAGCTTTTATTTACTAAGGATTAATCTTAGATCACTTGTACTTGAAAAGTGTTTCTCTATTTCTGGGAATTTTAGAATACCTAATTCTTGCAAGTGTTTGACTTGAAATTTGTTTTAACAATACCATTCAGAGGTAGAAATGTGTCTTACATTTATAACATACATACATAGATACATGCAGACAGACACAAAGAGAGAACAGTTGGATCTAAATTCTGTTTAGGACTCATGTTCCCTGGTCATCTTCTTCCATAAGTTCTGCTGCATTGATAGAGACCATCTGTGAAAAGCCTACTGTACTATGACATATTATTCTTGACATATCAGGCTCCAAATAACCCTCCTCCCTTTTAAAATAAGGACAGCCTTTTTTTGTTGTTGCTGTTAATCCTCACCCAAGGATATTTTTTCCATTGATTTTTAGAGAGAGTGAAAGGGAGGGAGAGAGAAAGGGGTAGACGGGAAGAGAGAGAGAAACACTGGTGTGAGAGACACATGGATTGGTTGCCTCCTGAATGCACCCCACCTGGAGCCAGGGATCGAACCTGTGACCCTTCGGTGCTCAGGCCTATGCTCTAATCACTGAACCATACCGGCAAGGCCATTTTAATGCCGCTAAGAATTGTGTTAACACTTAAATGACATCATAGTTTGATTTATTTAAGTCCTCATTTTGAAGCTTCAAGAGACCAATTAAATGTGGTTTTCATTCATTTCGTCTAGTTTTATGGCCAGCAATTTCTAATTGTATGTGCAAAAAATATTTTAGAAGTATCAAAGGATCCTTATTTTGGCCATCTTATTTATAAATGGGAGGCTGACTGTGGTGGGCCTTGTTGGCCTGGGCAGCATAATTTCCCATGTTAATTTTGAGATCTGTAGAGTGAACAAAGTTCTAGGGAAAACCAACCCTTACATGGCACATCTCCAGATGAGCTAACTGCAGGGGATATCTTTATAGGACTGCTTTACACCCAGAGGGATTTTTTTCTCTGGAAACCCCACAAAGATTCTTTATCACCTAAGAATACCCAAACCAGGGCCAGCAAGAGGTAACTGAACACAACAAGAACCGTGATACTTTCCAAGGCACTGCCCCTCTCTCAGGGTGAACCCATTCCAGGGTGCCCTGTCCTTCTCCCAGAACACCTGCATGCTTCTCTGGGATTGTCTGCAGTACTCTGGACGACTCCCGGTACCCATCCCCACCACTCTGGATTCGGGGGTCTGAAACAACTGTTGCCAGGTTGGGGAAACAAGGGTCCTTTCTCCTTCTGGGTTAAAGAGAGCTCAGCCTCTCATTTAATTAGCAAAGATTTTGTTCAGACTCTCAATAAGCAGTCCAATTAAAAAGCTGAAATGAAAAGCAGCAACCAAGGGGAAAAGGAGAAACATCTGTAACAAAAATAAATTAATAAAATAAATAAATAAATAAAAGCAGCAACCCACTCTTTTTTCCTCTTCCTGGGTTATCTCAGTTATTATCCACCTCAAGGATTTTCTAAGAACAACTCAGTCATGTCCTGCTACTTAAAACAAGGAGTCCTGGGATTCACCCAAGTTCACCTGATGTAAAGCAGGAGCCTTTGTGGTACAATGAGCCCTTACTTTACCTAGTATCAGGTCCAAGGCCACAGTGGTCCTGGATGGGCTTCTTCAGAACCCTGCCACAATATGCCAAGTAAATGATGTAAGGAATGTCTAAACCTCTAGAGAGTTTTTATAACAGTTTATTTGAGCCAAGCTGATGACATAATGCCAAGAAATAAGATCTCATATGCTCCCTAGACACTTTCTTAATACCAAAATTTTTTTCTATCTATTTTCTACATCATTTACAATAAAACAAGATTTACAATCTGTGAAATAAATGCCATTATAGTAAAACTGAACCCACATATAAATACATTTTATGTGGAGATCTCATAAATATATATATAATTTTAACACAAAACTATATGTGATATACACTGCTATTTCAGTGGTGAATTAAATTTTTCAAGATACTTGATTATCATTTGGTTAACTAAAGTAATAAATGGCTAAGGGTAGTTAAGTCTATTGTTTGTGGTCTACTAGCCATAAGAAGTTTGAATCTATCCTACATTTTATACAGATATGTTCCACAAAAAAATACAGTGTAGCATTTCTCACAGAAAACATCCAGGCTTTCCTAATCAGTAAGAAAGTGACTAGGACTCATGTCCCTTGGTTATCTTCTTCCATAGGTTCTGCTGCATTGATAGAGAAAAGCCTGCTGTTCTATTACATATTCTTCTTGACAAACACTTTGTTAGAGTGGAACTTCTCTCTGGTGCAGAGGCCTCCCCTCTCTCCTGTCTGCTAAGTTTAACCATCTCTGTTTCTACAGTTAAGAATTCTTAGTTTATAAAGAAACACGGGAGAGTTCACACAACTGGTTGTGGTATGAATGGTACCATGTAATTTTGTAATTTATAAAAGATTTTATAATTTTTTTCCCTGCAAAAAAACCCCCAAAACATTGAAATGGTCATTTTTTTTCTTTATATAGACTCTAAACCTTTCCAAACGTATAAGAAATCTGTTGCTCTGAAACAGTTATGTGATCTAATGCTCAAATAATCTACTGGAGGATTTTGGACGTAAAAATGTTTCTTAATGTGTTTTCCAGATGTCTGTGACCTTTTGAAATTTTTCCCTCCATTTAATTTTAAGGCTCTTAGATTGACTGATATGAGCCATAGAAATTAATGAAGTAAATTTTTTGAATAAACTGGAAGAACATATGTCTCTCTAGTAAGCCATTATTGATATAACAAAAACAACCTAGAGAAACTCAGTTCCCAAATTGTGATATACAGTTGAAATATTATGTTAATATAGAGCTAAAAGCAATACAATTTCCAAATAATTAGAGAACAGTAGACTCTATGTAACACAAACTATGCTAAACATAATTTTAATGTTTCTTTGATTCATTCAGGATGTTATGGATGTGTTGACATTCTGGTTAGGAGTATTACATGTCATATTTTAGTGTTTTGTAAAATATTTTTCTCAATAATTTCTCCCACAATTTACTGAATACTATAAATTGTGTTATAGTACCTCTCATGGTGCTTGACATATATAGTGGTCACATAAGTTTACTGAGGCTGCCAACAATTTGATGTACTTAAAGAAAAAAATTCTGATTGATTCTGATCTGTTTCTTTCAGAAAAGTCACCACCCATATAATGGAATTTTATCTGATTCTGTAGATCAGATTTCTTTATTCTGGATATCATGGTAACAATACAGGAAGTGTGCATAATTTCTCATTTCTGCAAGTAGTCTTGACTGCTGAAGGAAGACATTTTTTAAGCTACAGAAAAATTTTGGTACCTTTTATGGAAGTCCTGATTTTGTTTTGAATTTTTTGATAACCTTTTGCTAAAGGTATGAACAAGCTAAGGACTTATCTCGTTGGGCAAGTCCACATTAATAAGAATGCCTAGAAGAGGATTGATTCTTCAGACCCGGACCCACTGGCTGCTGTTGGGTCTTGCTTTACTCTGCAGTTTGGTACTGTTTTTGTATCTTCTGGAGTGTGCCCCCCAGACTGATGGAAATGCATCTCTTCCCGGGGTCATTGGAGAAAATTATGGTAAAGAGTACTACCAGGCCCTACTGCAGGAACAAGAAGAACATTATCAAACCAGGGCAACCAGTCTGAAACGCCAAATTGCCCAACTAAAACAAGAGCTACAAGAAATGAGTGAGAAGATGAGATCATTACAAGAGAGAAAGAATGTAGGGGCTAATGGCATAGGCTATCAAGGCCACAAGGAACAAGCACCTAGTGATCTTTTAGAGTTTCTTCATTCCCAGATTGACAAAGCTGAAGTTAGCATAGGAGCCAAACTACCTAGTGAGTATGGGGTCATTCCCTTTGAAAGTTTTACCTTAATGAAAGTATTTCAATTGGAAATGGGTCTCACTCGCCATCCTGAGGAAAAACCAGTTAGAAAAGACAAGCGAGATGAATTGGTAGAAGTTATTGAAGCTGGTTTGGAGGTCATTAATAATCCTGATGAAGAAGATGAACAGGAAGATGAGGATGGTCCCCTTGGAGAGAAACTGATATTTAATGAAAATGACTTCATAGAAGGTAATGTGAAAAAATGTGTTGGTCCCTAGTTATGTTAGTATAACAAAATGTTATTGTATGCTGGTAAGTCAGTCGTTTTCCACAGTATTAAAACATTTAAGTATTTACTCACTTCATTCTACCAAGAGTTTGAAGTGGCTTTTTGAAAAAAAGTTATCATGTGATTGTGAAGTAGAGAATAAGAACTAGGGAAATAGAATAAATCTAAACTAACAGAGAAGAGTTGAAAGGCTCTTAAGGCTATTTCTGTGTTTATGTGTGTATATATTTGCATTCCTCTTTTATGTGGTCTTGTTGTTCCTTATATTAAAAAAAAAAAAAAATGTATGAACTAAGGCTCAGGATTTTAAAACCATTTGATAAAATAATGAATAAAACCTAATGTTAGTCCTAGCCAGTTTGGCTCAGTGGTCAGAGTGTCAGCCCTCAGACCAAAGGGTCATGGGTTTGATTCCTGGTCAAGGGCATGTACCTAGGTTGCAGGTTCAATCCCCGGCCCTGGTCAGGGTTGTGCTGGAGGCAACCAATTGATGTGTCTCTCTCATGTTGATGTTTCTCTCTCTCTCTCCCCCCTCCCTGCCTCCTTTCCATTCTCTCTAAAAAAAAAAAAAATACATACATGCCCTGGCCGGTTTGGCTCAGCAGTTGGAGCATTGGCTTGCGGACCAGAGAATCCTGGGTTCGGTTCCCACTAGGGGCACGTACCAAAAAAAAAAAAAAAAATACATAAAACCTAATTTTGTATATTACTGGTTATTCTATATTTTGTAGGGAGGAGAGAGAAGCACATATGAGAACATCAAGGAGGCATACATAGTTTTTAAAAGCATATTTGGCATTTGGAAAAGTATTTTCCTAATAGAGACTGCGGAGAGGGCATAGGATTTTTATATATCAAGATGGGACATGACTCAAAAGTTGAGGAACTCTGCTATGAATTTGAGATATTTTTTGATTGATATAAACAGGAATAATTATGGATCCCCACTCATCTCCATCTTAATATCCTCTGCTGGGATATTTCATTGCAGGTATAAAATGATTTTAGAAATAAATCTTTCTTAAAATTTCTCTTTGCTTGACTCTATAAACAGTATACTATGTGTTGTGTTTTTTTGACCCTGAATCATCATGGATGTCACTTGCTATTATTCATTGAAGCCTTTGGAGGCCATCAGGGAGAGCATTATGCTTTTTTGGCATTTCAACTGTATTCTCCCTGTAGCCACCTCTTTTTTCTCTTGTCACTTCCTGCCATTTTCAATGGGTTGTTTCTTTCAAAACTCTAATTTTTCTGCAAGCTCAGCTTTTTGTCTTCTCAGTCTATGTAGCTTACAGCAGAATTGAAAGCTGCAGAGGAAGTAAGATAACTAAGTAACATGTAAAATGCCTTCATATCAGCCTGAAAAGAAAAGAACCGATGCCAGTTTTATATTCTGCTTATAACTCTCCTTGGATTCTGTCACTTACAAGATTTTTATCTGTATGGAATGGATTTTGCCTTCATTTTTCCTCCACTGTGCTTCTCTCCTCACCAAAAAATAATTACAACAACTGAGCAACTCCTGTTCCTCTTTCCAGACTTGGTCTTAGATGACACTTCTGGGAATTCATCTCCAACCTGCAAGTCTAAGATAACATTGCTTCCCGTGTGCTTTTGTAACTTCTGCTTGTGTCCCTTCTCATAGTTCTTGCCATATGGTATTGCTCATTCCCTGCTTTGTAGTTCCTGCCGGATTGTAAGCCTCAGGAGGAGTGGGACCAGATCTGTCTTATTCTCTGTTTTATTCCCAGATAATTGACAGTAACTCACGCGTCTGTAGGTCTAATCTTTCTCCTCAGTGTCCCACTGAAAAGTCAGCCCAGTACACTTCCATACTTTTCTCCCAAAGGCATGTTTAAATCTGTACTAATTTTTCTTTGTCTGACTTCACTGTATTCAGTGTATGTGTGTGTACGCACATGTGTATTTATATTGTTTCTTTATTTTTCTGTCTCCCTCACTAAACTGACCCTTACTCAAAACTGGGCCATGTAGCCAGCCCTCTTTATACCACCAGTGAGTGATTGACACAAAGGCATTCAATTTCATTATTGTTGAACTGAACCAGGAGATAGAAGTTTTGGCTTTCAGGTCTAGAATTTAATATTGCTATAAGTAATTTCTTTATTTTTATCAGATGGTTACTGTGTTAATAGGCTCTACTATTTAAAAAATCATATGTAAAAAATAATTTTCATTTGAAGTATATGTTATAGATTGAATAATAATATAGTAAAGCAGTGAACTTTTTTTTAACCTGTCTTTTTTTTTTTTTTGGTACGTGCCCCCAGCGGGAACCAAACCTGGGACTCTCTAGTCCGCAGTCGGACTCTCCAACCGCTGAGCCAAACTGGCCAGGGCTATCCTTTTATATAGAAATAGTTGTGAGGATAAATATTTTTACAAACAGATCTACAAATCTGGTTTTATACTTTTGATCTTCAAGTAAAATCAATATTCACATTGAACTTACAAGCTTTGACATGGACACATCTTTGTCCCTAACTCTTTTCTTCAGGTTATTACCGTACCGAGAGAGATAAGGGCACACAGTATGAACTCTTTTTTAAGAAAGCAGACCTTATGGAATATAGACATGTGACCCTCTTCCGCCCATTTGGACCTCTCATGAAAGTGAAGAGTGAGATGATCGACATTACTAGATCAATTATTAATATAATTGTGCCACTAGCTGAAAGAACTGAAGCATTTGTGCAGTTTATGCAGAACTTCAGGTAACTCTCAGGGTTTACTGATTTGGCTGAGCGTGTCTGAAAAAAGTTACACTTCATGTACATTTACTTACTTATCTTCACTGAGTATGATTACTTAGAATTACAGGATAATTTTATAGGCTTTAGTGAACTTTATTTTTTTCTATTCTCTTTTTTCTTAAAGCATGTATAGCATATGTTGTGTTTTTGACTATTTGAACTATGAAGTAAATTGAGGGTGACAATTATGAAAAAATGAATTTGATTACCTTTATAGATGTGTGTGAATTCATGTTATGACATGTTGAATTTTTAAAAATAACTTTATTAAGGCATAATTTACATACAATAAAATCCTCATATTTTAGGGATATAGGTTTCATGACTTTTGACAGATGTACACTCATGTATACTCATGTATACCTCCATAATCAAGATATAGAACAATTTGAATTTTAAAGTTGAAATAAATTTTAGAAAAATAAATGTTTAACTAAAAATGGGAGAAAGTTATTCCATCTTGGGAAACAGAGGCTGACAATTTTTAAAAGAATTTTTTTGTGATTAAATTTGGATATTTTAAAATGCTGAAGTGTTAAAGATAACTACATATTAGAATAACTGAGGAGAATTTTGCTTTTTTAATAATCACCATGTTTTAAATACTTTAATATGCTACTTTTAATGCTTTTTAATCCCAGTCTATTCTAGTATTGAAATTGTTGGATTTAAAATTAGTTAACACTCTTCCATAGAAGAATATCTAGAAGTCATGCTTCGAAATGAATTTTACATGTTTGAAATAATTCACTTGCAATCTGATTTCCTAAATCATTTTTTATTGCCTTTCTTGGAATTGCCCTTAGATGCTACATTATTCTTTACAGTAAGTAATCTCATTCGTGGCAAATATTTATTCTTTGATGATAGATGTAATTTCTGGTACTAACCAGTCTGAAGACAAAATAATTCTCAAATCAAAAGATGATTATTTGTTTATTTGGTTCTGAACTGATTTGGCCTATTTCCTTAAGTAACTTGCATTTTGCTTCTGAAGGCAATACCAAAGCAAAAGTTGCCAAAATGTTTTGAAATTTGGCAACGTTGTTGGACTGCTTCCATGGCCCTCCAAGGATTGCAGTCATTAAGACATAAACGTTGTTATTCATTTGCTATGATGCCTTTAATAATTCAGCAATATTGCCACTTTTATATTTACTTAAAATTTTATGTGATTTTGTTTTAAATTAGTAATGCCTTGTTCATTTTCTTGTTAAAGCTTCATGTGACTGCTTCTGAGTAGAGCCTCATATATTTTCTTGAATGAACTTTATTTTTCAATTCTGTTAGGGATGTATGTATTCATCAAGACAAGAGGATTCATCTCACAGTGGTGTATTTTGGTAAAGAAGGACTATCTAAAGTCAAGACCATCCTAGAATCTGTCACAAGGTGGGTGAGCCATGTCCACATACATAACATTAGAAGAGTGAGAATTTCAGATATTTAATGAGCTAATTTGGAATAGCTGCTGTTTAAAAATTGACTGAGCCCGGCCGATGTGACTCAGTGGTTGAGCATCGACCCATGCACCAAGAGGTCACCTGTTCGATTCCTGATCAGGGCACATGCCCAGGTTGTGGGCCTGATCCCCAATAGGGGGCATGCAGGAGGCAGCCTATTAATGTTTTCTCTCATCGATGTTTCCATCTCTCTCTCCTTCTCCTTTCCTTTCTCTCTCTAAAATCAATAAAGAAAAAATAATTTTTAATAAAATAAAAGTTGGCCGAGCCTGGCTGGTGTGGCTCAGTGGATTGAGTGTTGTCCCATGGAATGAGAGGTCCTTGTTCGATTCCTGGTCAGGATACATGCCTTGGTTGAGGGCTCAGTTCCCAATAGGGGGCTCGTAGGAGGGAGCCAATCGATGTTTCTCTCTCACATCAATGTTTCTATCACTCCCCTTCTCTCTCTCTAAAAAATCAATAAAAACATATTTTTAAAATAAATAAATAAATAAAAGTTGGCTGAGCATGTAAGTGGTACTGATAAGTTCCTCATTTTGCCCCTAGGTTCACTCCTGCAACTCTAAATGACTCGTCTTCATTTAAACTCTTAGCAGACAGCCTGGCATGGTCAGGGTGCTCTTACTCTGCAGCCCACTCACGTTCTATATGTTCCCCTCCATTTATTCTTTATTTCCTCCTGTTGAACTCTTTCCCTTTTTCTAAATTGAATCCATTTACTTTGATATCTCTTGAGCTTGTCTCTTATTTGTCACCTACCTGTCTTTCCATTTTCCCAAGTTCCTTCTTCTCACCCTGTAAATCTCCCATTATCCTTAAGACACTTCCACCAGACTCTACAGTATCTACAGCTACTGTTAGGTTTCTATCCTTTCATAGCTAAACCTCACAAGACAGTAATTCTCTAACCAAACAACTCAAATAGTACCTGGCACATAGTAGATGCTCAGAAGTTTAAATGATGAATTAGTAATTCCTTAATACTCTGTTACTAATTGCATAGCTTCTCAACCTTTTCATCTCTAAGTTTTGGTCTCAAAGTTATGACCTACTTGCCAATTCAGCCTTTTCTCTGTCATCCTCTTTTATCATTCATTTTTTTACATTTGACACCTGACGAGTACTTTTTCCTTGAAATGTTCCTCTGATATTTGTAAAATGTAAATATTTTGTAAGTGTAAATATGCTATAATGTAAGATGTTAAGTTGACTTTCTTTTCCGACCACACCAATTCTGTATTCATTACTTGCTTCTTTGCCTTTATGCTACTTGTGGACATTCCCTAAGAGTCCAGATTTGGCTGGCCATTCTTCTTGAATCATTCAACTAACATTCATTGATTCCCGCCATCTATGTTTGAGGTACTCTGCTTGGAAGCCTAACTGGGGTGATTAGAATAGGACTGGGCATAGAAAAGGGAGTTGTAGTCCCTACTTCTAAGGGCTCTCTCACAGCATTGATGTGTAAAAAACAAACATTGTCTTCTCCTCCTGATGGCCCTTTTTCAGTTCTGACTAAGACCAGTCTCATGAACTCCTGCACTTAATGTCTGAGAGCCCACATCTTTCACTCATTCTCTACCTCAGATTAGTCAGTTCCTGTTTACTGCACAGGATCTCTTCTCTGTCCTTTCCTTGCTGCTGCTACCACCCAGCTTCCTTACCCCTTCATTTTTTCCCTTCTTCTCTTCCCTCCTTACCATTTTCAGGTCACCTACTAAGTGCCAAGCACTCATTGGTATTCCTGAAGCCATTCTTGCATTAATCAAGATTCCTCTATGGTAAATGATGGAAACCTGTCTTGATCTTGCTTAAGGAAAATTAGTGTTACTGAAGAATTTTGGATAACTTGCAAAACTGAAGGAGTCATTACAACCAAATTGGGAGAACAAAACCAAGGCAGCTTTGACATATTAGGGACTGGAACCAGAGACTTTAATACCATCAGAATTCTCCTGTCTTGTCTGTTTTTCTTTGCATCTTGACTTCATTCTCCTCTTGCAGATCGTCTTCTTCCATATGTGAGGTATATGGCTGTTGGCAGCTCTGGGCTCACATCTCGGCTTTGGCATCAGAGAGGAAAGAGCTTTCTTCCAGATCCAGCTGAGAAAATCCCAGGAAGAATTTTTGCCCACTCTTGAGCCAATCACTATGGCCAGGTGGGGGTATTGTGATTAGCCCAGCTTGAGTCTGGACCCCGCTTCTAGGAAATTACTGTGGTTGGGGTGCTCTATGATTAGTTCCTCTACTTAGTTCTACAAGTGTGAGGTGGTGATCAGCAATTTCCCCAAAAGAAGGGAAAGATTTATATCTCATAAGAAGAGGAGCAGGGACACTCAGAGCGCTTGGAGTCTACTCCATATACTGTTTGAACCTTTGTTTCCATCTCTCCATTTCCATGTCTATGTTATTGTAAGAGTAATCTTTATAAAAGTTCCCTTTTTTGATCCAACTATAGTGCAGCAGTTCTCCATATTTAACATGAGTTACCTGGAGTTCTTATTAATACACAGATGCTCAGCTTCACCCCTTGCATCTGATCCAGGGGTCTGGGGTGGGATCTGAGAATTTGCATTTCTAACATGTGTCAAGGGGAAGCTGATGATCTGTATGCAGGAATTTCACAGTGAGAACAACTGCCCTGATGGAAAAACCCTGACTCTTCCTTGCCTTTAAGACACTGACCAAGATCTTTAACTTCTCATGGAAGGTTCTCCTCAGTCTGACCCTTTTCTGGTTTTCTCTCATTGTTCCCATTCTAGGATCCCTCTTTGCCAATTTGATTTGTCTGATCCCTGTTCTTTAAAATGCTTTATTATACTTTCTTACCTCATTGCCTTTGAGAATAATTAATTGGAACGACCTTTACCCTCTCCACTAAATTCAGGATGTTAGGCATAACTTAAATTCCAATTTTAACATCTTCTCTAATTACTCTAGACAGTAGCAATCTTTTTTCTCAAAACTGCTATTTGTTCATTTATTCAGCAAATGTTTATTGAACTCCTACTCTGTGAGGGACAATGTGTCCTTAGTAATGATCAAACAGAATCCCTGCTCTCATGCAACTTATATTCCAGTAGGGGAGACACTCAAAACATGTCTGGTGGGCCTAGCTGATGTGGCTTAGTGGATTGAATGTTGTTGTTCCATGGACTGAGAGGTCCCGGTTTGATTCCTGGTCAGGACACATGCCTGGGTTACGGGCTCAATCCCCAATAGGGGGCGTGCAGGAGGCAGCCAGTTGATGTTTCTCTCTCACATTGATGTTTCCATATATCCCTCTCTTTCTAAAAAATCAACACATTTTTAAAATGTCTGGTGAGACTGAGAAAAACAAAGCTAGGCAAAGGGATAGAGATTAAAGAGATGGAGGTTGGGGCTACTTCGCATACTGTAAGAGATATATCTCTCTAAGAGGACATTTGAGCAAAGATCTAAAGAACGCAATAGAAGTACATTCTTTGTATGTGTCACTCATGTGGAATGTGTTATTTATTACCAAGCATAATGGCTGTTTTTCCATGTGTACATTTTTCTATCTTCTCTAATAGGTTTTTAAGATTCTGAAGGGCAGGGGTCCCTCAGTACTTATAAACGTCACACCACCATCATGTTGCCTCACATGTGGGCATTTAGTGAATATATGTTCCTGATGATGATTATACACATGAAGCTGATGATTTCCTTTCTCTTTATTAACGTAGAACCAACATAAGAATACAGTATTATCTGAAGTGTAAAATATATTTGTAAGTTGTAATGAAGGAAGAGAGTTGTTAAATTTTAAATGGGACTTATAATTTGTTATATGTGTTTTCCTCTTAGTGAGTCTAATTTTCACAATTACACCTTGGTCTCATTGAATGAAGAATTTAATCGTGGACGAGGACTAAATGTGGGTGCTCGAGCTTGGGACAAGGGAGAGGTCTTGATGTTTTTCTGTGATGTTGATATATATTTCTCAGCCGAATTCCTTAACAGCTGCCGGTTAAATGCTGAGCCAGGTGCGTAAAATGTTAGTAGATGAGCTGAGTGTAGAATTTAGAACAATGTCAGCATGTCCCATATTTTTAATCAGTTAGTTATGTTTTATTGAATTAATATTAGGCATAATTTAACTGGAATACTAAGTAGAAAAGTGAAAATTTGTCCCTCTGAAATTCATACCCCTTGTTCTCTTATGGCTAAATTCTCATGTCTACATTTGAATGCAAATAAACAAATGCAGAGAAATAAAAAGTCTTGAAATTGACATGAAGGAGCAGCACCCATCAGAAGAAGAGCCAAGCCGACTGTAGAGATGTGTGAGAGTCAGAAGCACTTACACCAGACGTTGGCACCAGTACACACACAGGCGTACACATGTGCAGAGGTCTCAGTACAGATAGTGCTTGGTCTCCAGACTATGCACTTGGGATGATTTACTATATTTTGCTTTATGCTGTAAATATTTTTGTAAATGTATGAGCAAATGATATTTTTATAAATAAAATATATTTTTAATGTTTTTAACCCTTTAAATGTTATTTAAATCTTTAATTTAAAAGGTTTTCTGTATTTAAAAATCTCAGTGTTTTTTTATGTAGAACAACTATATTTATATCAGTGCAAATTATTACCACCTTATTAATTAGTTTGGTGGGATAATTGTCAGGAACTCTCTCAGAGCCTCCTGAGTAAGGGTTAGGTTTACTTTTGTTACACCAGATAGCATGAAGTTCAAAATGTGGAAGTTGAAGGAGACATTTGCTCAATGTGAAAATGTTTTTATATTCAGAAATAGATTTGCCTCTAGGAAACTGAGTTCCTCATCCCTAAGTGGGTTTTGAGGAAAGTAAGATGCGTATCAATTAGGAAACTTGAAATATAGAGGTTACTACCTCACAGGTCCTTAACAGTTACTGAGTACCTTATATTATCATATCTGATTGAGGCCAGTTTTAGCAAAGGATTCTCTGTTGCAGGGAGATGGGCTAGTTAGTTCGCTTTCAAGGTCCCTTCAGTGCTATCAAGTTAAATGATAATGACAAGGCTTCCTGCAAGGGCTATTACATCTGGTATTTTTATTCTCATTTCTCCAGCTTTTCTAAATCTTGTTCTAATCTGTCTGCAATTCTGTGTCATAATTATTCTTTGTATATCTATTCACTATACAGTATTCTTTGGATTTATTGTTTCTTGTGGTTCATTTTGAAGGGTGGATTTAACATAAATTTCTAAGTTCCTTGGTGATTGCCAAAGTTAACCTGTACCTACTCCTGCTAATTTGATGAAATAATGAGTAATAAATGGCGCACCTAATAAATAGCTGAGAGAGTATCTTTGCATATCTCCCCAAAGTCAAGGAAATAAACGTGTGGAGCACCCTTCAGTCTGTTTTTTTTCTCTGTTGTTTTGCAAGACTGTAGTTCTATAGCCTGGCCTACTGATATGTTACAAAATCATAATCATGTTTATCAAATTAATAGGATGTTCAGTAGCCTGAATATTGATAAAATACAATATTGATACAATAAAATTGTTATATGGGATCAAAGAAAGACTTTAACAAAATATTAATAGATATTATAATAAGACCGGTCCTTCATTTTATGACTTCTTTGTGTGATACAAACATATATTTTAATTTGTAGGTAAGAAGGTGTTTTACCCTGTGGTATTCAGTCTTTACAACCCTGCCATTGTTTATGCCAGTCAGAATGTACCCCCTCCTGTGGAGCAGCAGCTGGTAAGACTCTCACTGGTTTATGAAAGGCCACAAAGATCCTTTTTAGGTTCCTTTATATTTGTTTCACAAGTAGAAAACAAAATTTCAATAAAATATTGTAGTTATTATAAACACATTTTCATAGTCTCTTTACCCCAACCCCTCCATAAAATGCTTTCACATTTATTATTTTAGAATTATGTCATTCCAGAGGGGAAAAAAAAAGCTTAGGCCACAGAGAAAACTTCATGCTCCAGAATGTTAAAATTGTACAGTTATTTCTGCCAATATATTTATAATACTAAAAATAATTTTAATTTAAAAAATCTTATTAACTAGAAATTAAAACTACTTGATAACTAAGGAATAACATACTATAGGAAATTACTTAGAAAGCTATGGTGTGGGAATGTCACATGTCAAAACTTACAGTTGTACTTACATCAGCATAACAGTTATACTTACATGTTATTTTTAACTTTAAATAACTTACTATGTTAGAATAATTTAGTTTTACAGAAAAGATAGAAAGATAGTATAGAGCATCCCTAGATTTCACCCAATTTTTTTTTTTGTACATGCCCCTAGCAGAAACCAAACCAGGGACTCTCTGGTCTGCAGGCCGATGCTCCAACCGCTGAGCCAAACTGGCCAGGGCAATTTCCCCTAATTTTAACATTTTGTGTAACCATGGTACATTTGTCAGAATTAAGAAATTAATATTGGTAAGTTACTGCTAACTACACTATGAAATTTATTAGGATTTCACCAGTTTTTCTACTAATATCCCTTTTCTGTTCCACGATCTAGTCCAGGATACTGCATTACATTTAGCCTAATTCTTTACTGTTAACATTAAGAGAAAAATGGAAACGGATGAACTAAGAAGTCAATTTAAGATGTTAAAAAATTGACTAACTCTCCCTAGCCGATTTAGCTCAGTGGTTAGAGCGTCAGCCTGCGGTCCAGAGAGACCTGGGTTTGGTTTCCGTTAAGGGCGCGAACCTCAGTTGCAGTTTGTCCCTGGCCCTGGTTGGTCGCGCAGGTGGCAGCCACTGGATGTGTCTCATTCACGTTGATGTTTCTCTCTCTCTCTCTCCCCCTCCTACTCTGTCTGAACAAAAAATGGAAAAATGTCCTCAGGTGAGGATAAAAAAAAAAAAGAAATTGACTAACTCAGAGGAAAAAAAGGTAAAGGCAGAAATTAATGAACCAAAAATAATAGTTTGACAAAAATAGGAGCTTATTCTTTATGTGCAAAGAAAATTGTTTAATCATAAAGTAAGTAGATTAAAGGTAAAAAAGAAAATACAACATTGGAATTTATAATAAGAAAACATTGAGAGAAATCATTTTATGTAAGTTTTTAAAATTCCATGTCCGGCCAGTGTGGCTCAGCAGTTGAGTGTCGACCCATGCACCAAGAGGTCGCTGGTTCAATTCCTATCAGGACACATGCCCAGGTTGTGGGCCCGATCCCCAGTGGGGGTCATGCAGGAGGTGGCCAGTCGATGTTCTCATCGATGTTTCTGTCTCTCTTTCCCTCTCACTTCCTCTCTAAAAAAATCAATAAAGGAAAAAAAAAATTTTTAAACAAAAAAATAAAATTCTAAATATAAGGAAAAATTTGATAATTTATAAACCATTAATATGAGCTAAGTTTATGTTAGTATTTTATAAATGCTGATGTTAGTATTTATAAATAAAAGAGATGAAAGTTCTGAAGAAACTAATTGCTGCTTAAATTAGAACAGTTATCAGAAAAGTACCCTGCAGGTGCATAGATAAGAGGTTTTACTGGTGAGTTTTTCCAAATTTTCAAAGAACAGTTAATAGTGCCATATGATCTACTTAATATATTTTATGAGACCACCATTATCTTCATACCAGTACCTGGCAAAACAGGTACACAAATTCACACACACAAACATGCACATGTGCGCGCACACACACACCCCCTCTACCCCATCTGAAGGCCAGTATTACTTAGTAATGTTGATACAAGTGGAATCAAAGTGGCAAATCAAACACCCATATCTGCCTTATCTGACACCCTAAATCCTTTGAAAAAATGAATTAAGAAGAAAAAGGCATATTAGTATTAGAAAATGAGAGAATTGTGAATTACTATTAATAATCTAAAGTTTGAGAAATTTCTATAAGATGGCAATAGTGGATATAGGATTAATGTAGGAAAGGACAGTCTGGAACATGTTTAGGAGGACACAGTAGAATATGAGTGTTGCCTCTCCAGTGTTGTGCTAAGCAGCAGGCATCACAGAGATTGGCCTGTAGGTTGAGGCAATATGTATAGTCCTTGGAGCCAGAAAGGTAGGACAGGGTCCTGGGAATATTGAGTTGCAGAGAGGATAGGGGGCCCTAGAATGTGAAGATGAACTGCTATAAATATGCTGAGCCCTAGACCATGTTTAGCCCCTCGTCTGCTATTACTGGAGATAGGCCCCTATAATCATAGCTAACAGCCATGGGATTTTGAACAGTGATTTTTGTAACAAAAGTGAGTGGCAATTAACTAAGACTAGCCAAACACTTAAGGAAAACCAATGCCATGAAAGAGGCAGGGACTTTGTCACCTCTGTTCACTGCAGTGTACCAGCTTCTAGAACCATGTCCACAAATTAAACATATTGCATGTATGAATAAAATAAAGGAGGTTTATCAGGCTTCAATTTTACTTGATTCTGGGGACTCAGTATCATCCAAGCTCTGATTTTCTTTCTTTGCTTAGACTTCAGAGTTGACAGCTTTATTTCAAAGTTGGTTTTCCTCGTTGTGGAAAAGGACTATAGTAGTGCCAAATGTTGCTATACCTTACATCTGGGGTCAGCAAACGTATTCTGTAGAGAGCCACATAGAAAATATTTGGGGCTTTGCATTCCATATAGTCCCTGTTGCAGTTATTGAGCTCTACCATTGTCCCATGAAAGCAGCCATAGACAATTTGTAAACAAATGAGTGTGACTGTTTTCCAACAAAGTTATTTACAAAACCTGGTGGCAAACCACATTTAGCCCAGAGGCTATAGTTGGCTGACTTCTGCCCTACACCACCCAAAAAGAGCAAGTGTCTTTTCTAGTAGCTCTCTCAAAAGGACAAGGGGACTTTTTTTTTCAGAGTTCTCAACAACCCTTCCCTTTTGTGTAATGCCTGTTAATAACCAATCCCAATAACCAATCCCTACAATAAGTGAGGTGAGACTGTCAATCTGGTAGAGTCATCATGGCCCAGTCAGAAGGTACAGGTGGAAGGAGCTTGCTTGAAGTTCACGGGTTGCGTGGGGCCAAAACTATATATAATCAGGAAAACATTAGGGGAATGGATGCTGGGTAGGCACCAAATAAGGTCCACTCTGTAGAATTGATCACAGTATATTATAGTATGTGTAGCGGTTGTGCTCCTAGATTGAATGTAAGGCCCTTGAGGTCAGGGACCACACTGATTATTAGTCACCTCAGCTTACACCTTGCACAGGGTTTGAATTCAAATAAATTGAAAGTGGCCAGAATCCTTGCTTATGGGGATTACTATACAAGGTGGGGAAAGAGTAGGTTTACAGCTATGAGTACAGGAAACAGAGAGTTTATTTTTGTATTATTTATTTATTTATTTTATTTTATTTTTATCCTCACCCGAGGATATTTTTCCATTTTTTGTACAGATAGAGTGGGAGGGAGAGAGAGGAAGGGAGAGAGAGAGAGAAACATCGATGGGAAGGGACACATCGAGTGGCTGCCACCCGCATGACCAACCAGGGCCGGGGACAAACTGCAACCGAAGTACGTGCCCTTAGCGGGAACCGAACCCGGGTCTCTCCGGACCGCAGGCCGACGCTCTAACCGCTGAGCCAAACTGGCCAGGGCGTATTATTTATTAATTATTGTATTATTTTTCATACAAACAACTGTAAACCTACTTTTTCCCCACCCTGTATATTTTTTATTTCATAAGGATTTAATAATATAAATACATGCTTTTATAATCAGTCATATAAATGATAGCAAACATTAATATTTGGAAAGTATTAATTTTTTATTATTGATTAAAACTTTTTCTAGTTCTTAAGGGACTACATTTATTTATTTATTTATTTATTCTCTAACTTAAGGTTCACAAAAAGGATTCTGGCTTTTGGCGAGATTTTGGCTTTGGAATGACTTGTCAGTACCGATCAGATTTCCTGACCATTGGTAAGTATACTTTACATTTAAGGATAGGACTTTATGTATTTACAGTATTACTTTATGGCAATTTTCTAAAAGGGCTCAGATTTTACTATTTTTTCATTAAATTATAAATATCTGAGAATAGCTGAAAAGAGAAGTCTGGAGATAGGAAGACAGTGAGTTTTATAGCTATTATCTTTGAATAGCAAAAATGAGGTCATAAAGATAAAATAAAAGTGATATATTATTGTTTCTTAAAATCAAAACACTAGTTTTAGCCCAGCTGGTGTGACTCAGTGGATTGAGCATTGGCCCACGGACTAAGAGGTCCAGGTTCCAGGTTTGATCCCCAGTAGGGGGTGTGCAGGAGGCAGGCAATGGATGCATCTCTCTCATTTTTCTTCTCTCTCTAAAAAAATCAATAAGAACACGCCCTGGCTGGTTTGGCTCAGCAGTTAGAGCACCAGCCTGCGGTCCGGAGAGACCCAGATTCGGTTCCTGCTAAGGGCATGTACATCGGTTGCAGTTTGTCCCCATCCCTGGTTGGGTCGTGCAGGCGGCAGCCACTCAATGTGTCCCTTTCACGTTGATATTTCTCTCTCTCTCTCTCTCTTCCTTTCTCTTCCTCCCGCTATCTGAACAAAAAAAATGGAAAAATGTCCTCAGGTGAGGATTAAAAAAAAAAAGAAAAAATCAATAAGAACATATATTTAAAATTAAAAAATAAAATCAAAACACTAGTTTTTAAAAATATCTGTGTGACATGTTACCCATATAAGCAGTTGATCTGAGTTTTCTAACAAAAGATCTTTATATAACTTTGGTAGTGTGCTCATGGATTATTACAACAGGAAGTAATGTTGGCTTATCTAGTACAATGGCATATATATAGAGAGGGGAGGGGGTGGGTAGTGACACCAATCCTCAGTATTTTATTTTATTTGTTTTTTTTAACTTATTTTCATTATTGAATGTATTACAGATGTTGCCCCTTTTTCCCTCATTGACCCCCTCTTCCCTGCTCCTGCCCCCCTCCTGTCTTTCTCACACTATTGTCTGTGTCCACTGGTTATGCATAAATGCATAGAAGTTTTTTGTTTTATCTCCCCCCCATGTTCCCTTTGAGGTTTGTCAGGCTAACAACCAATTTGTACTTCTAAATCCCTTCACCTTTTCACCCATTCCCCCAACCCCCCTCCCATCTGGCAACCAACAAAATGTTCTCTGAATCTATGAGTCTGTTTCTGTTCTGCTTCTTTATTTTGTTTGTAGATTCAATTGATAATAGGTATGTATATATTGCCATTTTATTCATATTTTTTATGATTATTTCCTTCAAAAAGACCCTTCATCATTTCATATACTAGTTTCGTGGTGATGAACTCCTTTAACTTTTTCTTGTCTGGGAAAGTCTTTATATGGCCATCAATTCTAAATGACAGCTTTGCAGGATAGAGTAATCTTGGTTGTAGGTTCTTGGTTTTCATCACTCTGAATATTTCTTGCCACTCCCTTCTGGCCTGCAAAGTTTCTTTTGAGAAATCAGCTGACAGTCTTATGGGAACCCCCTTGTAGGTAACTAACTGCTTTTCTCTTGCTGCTTTTAAGATTCTCTCTTTGTCTTGAACCTTTTGCATTTTGATGATGATGTGTCTTGGTGTGGGCCTCTTGGGGTTCATCTTGTTTGGGACTCTCTGTGCTTCCTGGACTTGTATGTCTGTTTCCTTCACCAAGTTAGGAAAGTTTTCTGCTATTATTGTTTCAAACAGGTTTTCCATTTCTTGTTCTCTCTCTTCTCCTTCTGGCACCCCCAAGATGCGAATGTTGGCAGGCTTGCAGTTGTCCCAGAGGCTCCTTACACTCTCCTCTTTTTTTTGGGATTCTTTTTTCTTTTTGCTGTTCTGATTGGGTGTTTTTCGCTTCCTTATATTCCAAATCGATGATTTGCTTCTTAGATTTACGTACTCTACTATTGAATCTGTGTAAATTATTCTTTATTTCAGTTAATGCCTCCTTCATTTCTGACTGTGCATCCATCATTTCTGACTGGTCCTTTTTTATGCTCTTGAGGCCCTCACTAAGTTCATTGAGCACCCTTATCTTTTTTTTTTTTTTTTTTTATCCTCACCTGAGGACATTTTTTGATATTTTGTTCAGATAGAGTGGGAGGGAGAGAGAGAGAGAAAGAGAGAAACATCGACGTGAAAGGGACACATTGAGTAGTTGCCACCCGCACAACCCAACCAGGGCCGGGGACAAACTGCAACTGAGGTACGTGCCCTTAGCGGGAACCGAACCAGGGTCTCTGGGGACCGCAGGCCGACGCTCTAACCACTGAGCCAAACTGGCCAGGGCATTGAGCACCCTTATAAGCAGTATTTTGAACTCAGCATCTGTTAGGTTGCTTATCTTTATTTCGCTCAGTTCTTTTCTTAGGGTTTTGTTCTGTACTTTCCTTTGGTACCTGTTTCTTTGTCTCCTCATTTTGGCTTCCTCCCAGTGTTTGTTTCTATGTATTACTTAATGAGAGGTATGGGGCTATCTGAGACCAGATGCTGCTTGTTTGAAAGAATTTAGGGTAACCTGAAGCAGGATCCAAGACAGGCCAATCCTGTGGTTAAGCAACTGGCAACAGCTTGGGTGGGCCTGAAAGTTGGATGGGGCGGGGCCTCAGGGAATCACCAGGGCGGGGCTACCAGTGTGAGCCAGGTTGCTGGAGTCTCAGATATGGCAGGTATCTGCCACCCCTGGTTCGGTTCCCATCTAAGCTTAGAGAGAGTGAGTCTGATTAAGTCCGTGCGGGCCCTTTAAGAGGGGCTGCCTGGGGCTCCAGCCACATCAGCTTCTCTGAGCCTCAGTTCCCGCTGGTTTTTCCAGCCAGAAATTATGGGGATTCTCTTCCTGGCACTGGAACCCTGAGCGGGTTGTCTGGTGTAGGATGGACCCCTCAGTCCTCAGGGAGGACCTTCCCAGCCGAGGTGTCCTCCTGATTTTTACCCGTCACAGTTGGGTGTGGGACCAGCCCATCCGCCTACGCCCCTTCTGCCAGTCTCGATGTAGCTGCTGCTTTAATTTTGTAGTTGTAGGACTTCCCTTCAACTCGATTTTAGGCAGTTTTGAATGATGGTTGTTCTGTAGTTTAGTTGTAACTTTGATGTGGTTGTGGGAGGATCCGATACCGCATTTACCTACGCCGCCATCTTGACCGGAAGTCTGAGTTCATCTTATTTGGAACTCTCTGTGCTTCCTGGACTTTTATGTATGTTTCCTTCACCAAGTTAGGGATGTTTTCGATTATTTTTTCAAATAGGTTTTCAATTTCTTCCTCTCTCTCTTCTCCTTCTGGCATTCCCATGATGTGAATGTTGGTATGCTTGAAGTTGTCCCAGAGGCTCCTTACACTATCCTCATTTTTTTGGATTCTTTGTTCTGATTAGGTGTTTATTGCTTTCTTATATTCCAAATTGATGGTTTGCTTCTTAGTTTCACCTACTCTACTATTGATTCCCTGTAAATTATTTATTTCAGTTAGTGCTTCCTTCATTTCTGACTAATCCTTTTAATGATCTTGAGGTCTTCCCTAAGTTCATTGAGCATCCTTATAATGAGTGTTTTGAACTCTGCAACTGTTAGATTGCTTTTCTCTGTTTCGTTTAGTTCTTTTCCTGGAGTTTTGGTCTGTTCTTTCATTTGTGACATGTTTCTTTGTCTCCTCATTTTGGGTACTTCCCTGTGTTTATTTCTATGTATTAGGTAGAGTTGCTATGTCTCCTAGGCTTTGTAGGGTGGCCTATTGTACTAGGTGTCCTGTAGGGTCCACTGGTACAGACTCCCTGATTACCTCTGCTGTGCCCTTGAGGTGTACACCTTGTGTGGACTATACACCTAATTGAGTCTTGATTGCTGTTGGCATGTCAATGGGAGGGAATTACTCAGGCTGATCAGCTGCAAGGACTGGTGGTGCCCACTGACCGTTGACCTCTGACTACCTTCGAAGATCAGCTGTGTAGGGGCCCACCACGCAGAGCAAGACTTACTTCAGCAGGGCTCTGGTACCCACTAAGTTCACTCCTGGAGTGTGTCGCTTGTGAAGGTGGTTAGGTGGTGGTGCTTCGATGTGGTCTGAAACTGTCCACTGGGTTTGCTGGCTCTGGGGCCAGGTCATCCACTGTCTGTGTTCTACCCGGGGCCACTAGGCATAAGCTACAAAGCGATCTGCAGATGGCTGCTTCTTGTGCTGGTCTTAGAGGTGCACAGGCAAAGCCAGGCTGTGAACCAAGGCTGGCTGCTTCTAGTGCCAGGCCTAGGGCCACTTAGCGAGAGGTATGGGGCTCACTGAGGCCAGATGCTGCTTGTTTGAGAGAATTTAGGAAAATCGGAAACAGGAGCCAAAACAGGCCAATCCTATGGGAAATACACTGGAAAGAGCTTGGGTGAGCACAAGAGTTGGGTGGGGCAGGACTTTAGGGAATCACCAGGGTGGGGAAAACAGTGTGAGCCAGGTTGCTGGAGTACCAGATATGGTGCCCGTTCTGCCTGCCCTGTAGGGGAAGGGCTCACCAAAGGAACAACGGCCTCCGCCAGCACGTCTGTCTGGGAGAAAGCTGCCCCTCCAGCTCTCACCCTGATGCCAAACAACTCAGTTCTTCCCTGTATGTCTCTGGTGCCTTTCAAGCTGCCTCCCCCTGCTGGAGCCTGGAGGGAGCGAGTCTGAGTAAGTCCGTGTGCAGACCCTTTAAAAAGAGCTGCCTGGGGCTCCAGAAGCCTCAGCCTCCCTCAACCTCAGTTCCTGCTGGTTTACAGCCAGGAGTTGTGGGGACTTCTCTTCCTTGCACTGGAACCAGGCTGGGGGGCCTGGTGTGGGATGGGGATTCCTCACTCCTCAGGGAGGACCTTCATCACCGAGGTATCCCTCTGATTTCTATCCGCCACACGTGGGTGTGGGACCAGCCTGTCTGCACCTCTGCCCCTTTTACCTTTCTCAAAGTGGCTTCTTTCTTAACTTCATAGTTGTAGGACTTACA